ATATAATATACAAGTTTCACTTTTTAAATGGAATTACTGAAATCAATCTACTTTTTCATGATATTCTAATTTTATGACCAGCACCTGTACATTTCAAATAGATGGTATCCAAATTTTGCACAGCCAGGTAACGGATATTGGTATCAGGGTCAAAAAATGGCATCAGTGCAACACTTCCCTGGATGAGGTCGTTCTGTCAACTTTACCTCAAAGGCCTCAGTGAACTTCATGATTCAGCATTAAAACAAGTGGAGGTTGGATGCTGGTTGCTGAGAATCTGACCAGAGGAGAGTTGAGAATTTTTTTTTTCCAGAATAAATTGAACCTATTATGAAAACTGCATAGACCTGTTAAGTGACTTTTTACATTTCCATATATATTTATAATATTTTTGATTCCAAGAGGAATCAGACTGGAAGGGTTCTGGGAATCCAGTCCGGCTGAGGATGACGAGTAAACGTCTTTAATAGTGATACTAGTGATAGCAATGGTGTTCTTAGTCGCTGTGGTCTGAGAAGAAATATTTAGGTTGATCCATAGAAAACTTTCTCACTCTTATTTTATTAAGTTCTTGGGTATTTTTAAGGGATTTATTTTATTTATCTGTTATTTTTTCAAGTAGAAGTTGGAAGAGATGAGTCATTTTTAGGGTGAGAAGCAGTTGGTATTCAGAGGATGTTTTTCATTTGCCATTTAGTATGCATGCTATACTCTGATAAGCAAATAAAACATAATGTAAGATGAGTTATTTACACTGTTTTCTGTTTAAAAGTTAATATAGAGACACAAGAAGCTCTTTAGGAACTTCTAAATCAAACAGCTTGTAAACTAGAAAGTGGGCGGGTCCTTTCCACACTTCTTTGTTCCTCAGTCTGTTATCCAACGATCACTCAGGTGATTGAGGAACGCTTCCACTAACAGGCTAATTTTTGGAAATGAACAGCAAAGCATTATAAGGTAGATTGACAGTAATAAAGCAGATGTTGTATTTGCATCTGTTTTCATAGTTGACTATCTAAAAAGTGTCTCACAACATTAATCACTAGAATGAATTTCATGGAGATTTTTCACTTCCTTAAAGTTTACCCACTGGGTTTTTCCTCTCAATGAGAGATAAAACTGATTCTGGTTGCTAGGCAGGCTACTTGCAGGCTCATTTGCATAGTGGTTTCTGATTGGTCATTTATTAGAAGGCGGAGTTTGGGCTCTCCGCTGACTCCATACAGACAGTAGAAGATTGCTGCCTGTGCAGCGAGCCACGAGCAATGTAGTGTCACCACCACAAACAACCCAACACACTTTAGAAAATTCCTTCTCTTCTAATACCTGACGTCTCTTTTAGGTTGCCGTGGGCTACCCCACTGACAGGGTTGTGCCCTGGGTAAAGGGCCATAGCCCCACATAGATAGCTGTAATTGTCATCGACTGGTGCGATACCTGCTGGAAGCGAATGTCCATGTCGAAAGTGAGCGGCTCTCTGGGGTGGCAGACGGGAGGGATGCTGAACTCCCCATTGGGTGACGCCATGCAGGGAACCAGCTTCACGGCGTAGGTTCCGGAGTAGTCCCGTACCTGGAAAACAGACGTTCACGCTGCTCAAGCCTTGGGAACATTAAGCTACTTTACCTTTTCACAGAAGGAAGACTCACTGCAAAATCTGAGACAAAGCTCCACTGCTGCATGGGCTGGTTGTATGTAGGCTCAGTTCTGACCAACGCGAGGGTGAAGGTCAGGCCGGGGATGTCAGCGCAGATCACCATGGAGGACACACTGGTTCCTAAGGACAGAGACAAACACAGGCAGCACTATATCACAGCATTTGTGTCTTATTTATAGGGGTGTTTTAGAGCGCTGTGCTTCCAGCACTAAGGGTCACTTCAACATTTGCTTCAGTGACCTTTGGCAGTTTCACAAGAGAAAGACCCCTGAGGCGGAACTCCAGAAATAGAGGAATAGAGGATGTTGGCCACAGTAACCTGATCTGCTCCTGCTTCTACAAAATTAACCAGCAGGACAAGTTTGGGATGTGAATGTATGCATGCCGGAACCAATCACATACCTGGATGAGACATAACAAACTGTCCCCTGAAGCGAGCCTCCGTCTTGAAGTTGACCACCAGGCGCCCCTCCTCATTAATGCGCATGCTGGTGGGGTACATGGCTCCTACAGGAACAGAAGACGCTGTCACATTTGGCACAAATGGGTCTTTGGAGAGAGGACGGATGACGTACCTTGTAGCTCCGCCTCAGGCGGGCTGCCGACGCCGTCCTGCCACAGAATGGCCGTGTCGTACACAAAGGTGAGCTTAAGCTCCGACTGCAGGTCAAAGTGCTGCCAGCCTCCGACAGCGACGGGCGAGTGGAAGACGTAGGACACAAAGAGAGGAACACGCAAAGTAACGTAGGACTGGACCAGGTTGAGCACCTGGAGGACAGAAAAACATTACATCTGAAAATCTGATACATTTTACCTTCACTCAGATATTTCAGTGAAAAGAAAAAAGTTTGTGTTTTAGGTCATCAGAACATGAAAATGCTTACAGGTTGTCATTTACATCTCACCTCAACTTTACTAAACACAGAGTACAGATAAACCGATGCAGGATTTGTTGAGGCCAATTACCAATTATTGTGACATCAGTCTACCTGATANGATATCAAAAAAGTACTCCAGAGTGTTGTTCAGCATGGGGGTGAGTAGAAAATGAAGGCTAATCATGTTTTGGGTGTACTATTCCTTTAATGATCCCACTGAGCAGTAACACTGATATCTCTGTGGAAGCTCTTTCTACTCATTATCAGTATATCTAAAACAGATAAATGCACTGTTGTTCTTCGATGTTGCAACATTGGAAAGTAAAATATTTTTTTCTTTGCGGAATGGAAATGGAAATTTCGAGCTGCTTGCTTTAGTTTCATAGTAGCTTTGCTGCAGAGGCTATGCCTGCCTCAGTCAGGATTCATCATGCAAGGGCTTGTTTTGTTTTTGTTTTTTAGATGCAAACATCACATGTAAAAACCAGTGACAGCTGGTTTTTATGCAGGTCAACCTGGGTGATATTGATCTGAGTCTTAAATTTCGAAGCTACAGCCAAATCCGATCTAAGCCTCTTCATACAATCACTCCTACCTGATTCTGTTTCTCTATCATTTATATTATAGATTATATATATTTATTAGTGCTGCAGCTAATAATTATTTTAGTATTTTGGGATTCTATTGGTTATTCTAACAATTGATTGCGTAATCAGATGCTGATGTAACACATTCTGCAGATGTTTTTTTTTAACTACCTAAGCTTAGCTTATTTTAATAGAAAGACTAAAAAATAAAATACAAATCAAAAGATAATAATTTTCTTATTGAAAAGAATATAATTAATAAAAAAAATTAGGTTTTAAAGTTCAACATGTCAAGAGTTCCGCTTTCAGTTGAATTGAGAACAATAAAGTTGGGATCTTCTGTAGGGAAATTGTAGAAAGTGTTTCATGTATTCTGTTTTTTTTTGTTTGTTTTTTTTTTTTTTTACATAAAATCATAAAAAGACTAATTGTATCCTTATAGAGTAAATCCCTCATATTTACCCTGAGCACAAAATTTTCAGTCCTTTTTTTATCTTTTATTTGTGCAAATGAACCAAAAAAAAAAGAAATATGCAAACAAAACACTCCCCAGAAACCTTACCTCACTGCCGGATGGACAGCTCTGGTACGGCTTTGCATATTTCTGTTTAGAACCTGCTCTGTCAGCTTTTTACTTCATATTTAGGTAAGAAACAAAATGAGCTTAAAACTGCATTTGAGCTTAAAACTGCAATCTTAGTGGTTCTCTTCATACAAAATCAGGTGTGCGAAAAAAGCATGAGTGCACCAGGATCACAGCGACTAAATGCATGTATGTATGGGTCACATATGCTGTTCATTGTTACCCATTATAGCAACGCACAGTATTGGGGGCACCACTAGTGTAGCTGATCTCTAGTTACAAATATATGCAGCCATGCATCTCTGCATCAGCACATGGTGCAGGGACACAGGCAGAAGGGGTTGAGGAGTTTGCTTTTCCAAGGAGTCAGCATTATTTTTCTGCTGAAATCCCAATAACCACTTTCTTGGTACCGTAATTGTTCTTTGGATTCTACTCCTGATTATATAAAAAAAATTGAATCAGATCATTGCTTTCACAGCTGCTCTGATTCATGCCCCTTGAATGTCACTGTTATTTTGTCCCTTTATCCATAGGACTTCAGAGTAGCGGCTCCACGTTGAACACGTAACTAACATAAAGTATAAGCTGCCGATCCAGATTAAGATCAACCATGTTTTTCTTTGTTTCTCTCATGAATTTAGATATATGGGTAGTAAATATTAACCTAAATAGTTCTTAAAAATTGAGCTAATATAAATGGTCAACAACTGAATAAAATAACGTATATTTTTTTTTAATCTTTGGGGTAAAATTATAGGAAACACAAACATCTTTTTTCCTCCAATTGCTAAAATAACAGACATGTATTTGGCTATATGACTGATATCTGATGAATCTGCTAAGAGATATAAGGAATCAAACATAAAAGATGCTAAATCAGCTAATACTGTTCATGAAATGCTGATCAAGTATGACTTCCAATATCTAAGCAGGTCGATTCAAAAATTATATAAAAGACTTATGAAACCCTGAGGCGTCGTCATAGGACCTGCGGTCATCTTATTCTACTGTTCATATGAAGGCGTGTCTGTACAGCCAGAATTAAACTGAGTGAGGGAAGCCTTTGCTATCTAAACAAATATAATACATAAAAATGATAAAAGCCAGAATCAAGCTCTGTGAGACAGATTGTAGGTTAGAACCGGGACATTTGCAACAATGTTCTATGGACAGGTAAGTCTAAAACGTAATGATTTAGACATAAGCCCAGAGATATGTAGCCCAACCCAAAGCAACGTTCCATAAAAAGACCCTGATTATCATTAATCATTAAGGTGGACGTGTCATGGTTCATGGATGCTAAGCTGCTGCAGGTCCCGGTCAGCGAACAGACTCCTCCATGTTGCAAAATGTCCAGAACAGGAGACCATCCGTACAACATGACAATGACTCTGAACATGCTAGTTAATCTAATAAGGACTGCTCAGAATTCTTATATTTTTCAAATATATAAAGAAAATCCAGCAGCAATATAAATAATCTTCACATTCTCCCTCATTTTTTTTAGCAGTAAACAGTGAAACAAAGGATGAATATATTGTCCCCCCCTCTTGTGAAATTTCAATAAATTGTTTGGTTTCCTGGCTGCATCGCATCAGATCTCCCCATCCGGCAGTTCACGTACACGTCATTTGACGTAGTGACAACGAAAGAAACAAATTAACAAGAAAATGTGTTAATAAGCAGCAGTGTGGTAAAAACGTCTGCGGCTGAAAAATGCAGCGCCCCAAAGTCTGGGTTTTAAAAAAGGAATATATATATATATATATATATATACAGTTGTGTTCGAAATAATAGCAGTGCCTTTAGAAAAATGAGTAAATGTCAAAATTCTTCAAAGAAATTGTACTTTAATGAACACAGATACATTGGGGACACAGTACATTCTATTCCAAAGCAAAACAATTGCGCAAAGTCATCAAAACTTAAATAATAATAATAATAT